AGAATCTGTCTGCAGAGAGAAGCATCAATCTGTTCCACTGTCTGAATGAACTGAATGATCGTTCTCTAGTGGAGGAGATGCAACAGTCCCTGAGATCAGGAAGTCTCTCCACAGATAAACTGTCTCCTGCTCAGTGGTCAGCTCTGGTCTTCATCTTGCTGTCATCAGAAAGACAACTAGACGTGTTTGACCTGAAGAAATACTCTGCTTCAGAGGAGGCTCTTCTGAGGCTGCTGCCAGTGATCAAAGCCTCCAACAAAGCTCTGTAGGTGGATTAATGAACCACTTTATGTTTGTTTCACTTTGCACATGACAAATGAAAGTTTTTGTTTGTGTTCTTTATTAATTCTTCTTCAGGTTGAGCAGCTGTAACCTCTCAGAGAGAAGCTGTGAAGCTCTGTCCTCAGTTCTCAGCTCTCAGTCCTCTAGTCTGAGAGATCTGGACCTGAGTAACAACGATCTGCAGGATTCAGGAGTGAAGCTACTTTCTGCTGGACTGAAGAGTCCACACTGTGAACTGGAAACTCTTGGGTGCGTGTTAAGTATGAGCATATTACATAAAAAGTAATTTATGTGAGTAATTTTCAGTTTCATCAAAACAGAAGTTTTCCCATTAATCTGTTTTTGTTTTGTTACCAGTAAAACATGGTAAAACAAAATACATTTAACAATCTGAATAAACACTGTAGACCAGTTCAATGATGCACTTATCTATTGAAGCTGAATGTCAAACACAAACATGCACAGACAAATTTAAGTAACTATTACTCACAGCAAAGTGATGACACAGTACACAGCCACATTATTCCTGATCAATGTTGTCAAATTTGTACATTTTACGTTTCAGGCTGAGCAGCTGTAACCTGTCAGAGAGAAGCTGTAAAGCTCTGTCCTCAGTTCTCAGTTCAGAGTCCTCTAGTCTGAGAGATCTGGACCTGAGTAACAACAACCTGCAGGATTCAGGAGTGAAGTTACTTTCTGCTGGACTGAAGAGTAAACACTGTGAACTGGAAACTCTCAGGTCAGAATACAGCTGTGTGTTTTCAAATCAATAGCAAGTGAGTAATACATTCTGCACTACACGTAGTTTTATGTCAGTGAACACTTTCTTCTGTTAGATTTTTAGCATTTGAAACATAGCGACCTGAGGAAATCTTGAATATCTTACATATTAGTGTAAATGAAGGAACTGTGACTAAGAGCTGTGTTTGGCAGGCACGGTGAAGACATTTGCTCTTAAACCTCATGCAAAGTTTTCTGTAGCGTGGCGCTTTATTGGTATTCCGGCATACGGGGGGCTTACTAACATAAAGTGTGAGTCTCTGAAGGTAAGCCAGCCCACAACATTTGCAGAGTATAACATTTAATCCAGATGGTCAGAGGGTAGGAATGTAAATACAGAAGTGAATATTAGTTGGTTTACATATGGTTGCAAATCAATAACCAAAGGTGATGGAATCGAGAGTGGCACTAAGGGTTTCTCCAAACAGAGCGGCCTGAAGTGGGTTACGTTTCAAAAGGGAGTTGTTTGTTTTATGTTGTCTGATCTGCTGTAGTCACGAGACAACAGTGCTGACACTAAACGCTGCTATCTGAATGCTGTAAATGTGAGCGCCGATTAGTCACGTTAGATTGTTATTTTAATCAGCTGCCATGCTGACACTTAGCAGACTGTGTGTCGCTTGTGTTATCAGACTGTGTTTCTGGGATTGCATTCTGATACTATAAAAGCCTTGAAATAAGTCAATAAGCTAAATTGTTTATGCAACAACACTTCCCCTTCTCTCAGTCATTTCCCCTTACTGAGCTGATTGGTTCTTGCCATACTGTGGATTACAACAGTAGTCAAATGGGACTATACCAACCCTACCTCTGCACAACACAGCTGATGGTATCAAACACATTAAGAAGGCAAGCAGTTCCACAAATCAACCCTTGACAAGGCACATCTGTTAATTCAACGCTGCAAAGCTGCAAGCAGCAATAGATGGGTCTTCAACGCACGGCCATCGGGTTGTCATGCATGTCGGGGCGTGGTGGATGGGTGGACAGTGTCCAGAAAGGGATGGTCAGCAGCAACAGGCAGAGATGTCCACTGCAGCCAGGCAAATGTATTGTTCTTTGCTGACAGTGGAAGAGTGTGAATGGATTGACTTGGTTTTGGAAGCAGCCTCAAGTGGCTATTTAAGGAACTGCAGGCAATTCCACATTGGCTTCACCATTTAGTCCCTGGGGTTGCATTAAGTGATAATCATCTGCGTAGAGCAGTTGCATGATTGTTTATTTCCAGTTACTGCCCCCTTCCTCTCAGCTTTAACCGTGCATGTGTGTGTGTGTGTATCTGTGTGTGTGTGTATCTGTGTGTGTGTGTGTGTGTGTGTGTGTGTAGGCTGTCAGGTTGTCTGGTCACAGAAGAAGGTTGTGCTTCTCTGGCTTCAGCTCTGAACTACAACCCCTTCCATCTGATAGAGTTGGACCTGAGTAACAACAACCTGCAGCTGCAGGAGCCGGGAGTAAAGCAGCTTTCTGCTGGAGTGGACGATCCTTATTGGAGACTGGGCGCTCTCAGGTATGGACGGACACGACGCTCTCACATAGTTCAGTCATAACAGCAATGACCAAAAGGTGGAACATTCTTGAAAAACATATTGATACAGAGTGTCTCACATGTATAAAGTCAAAAATGTTTCCTCATGGACTGAAGGGCTGCACTTGAAGGCTGTTTGAAAAGTCTGCTGTCATGGAGAGAGGCAGGACATGATGACTTCCACAAATGCAGGAAATGCATGCACTTTTTTTTCTCTCTTTCAAAGGCAAAAGAAAAAAGGCGAAACTCCTTTTTCCAAATTTCCCACCAAGTGGGTATGGCAGTCATTTTGCATGTTATTATAAAAACTGTTGGAATTTGGGCCTCTTGTTCCAACAAAAGGTGTAGGGAGAAGTTTTTCAGAAGGTGACCATTAAACAAGAAGTTAATTAGAAATCTAGTGATACCTTTAAAAACAGCAGTTAGGATTATTGTTGCATTAAACATCATTGAGAAGAATGCAGCATTTTTTTTCCATATTCAAAAAGATTGTACTTCTCTAATTGTGTTTTGTTTTCTAGAGTGGACAGTAATAGAGAGCAGAAGCTAACTCCTGGTCTGAGGAAATGTAAGTTCCTATACTACATCTATACAAAGTGTAACTGGCTTGCACTTCCTCCCAATTTATGCCGAAGATGCATGTTTTATCTGGATCAGACATTACAACAGTTTTGAATTAGGAGGACTCTATGAGTAGGCTTTTCTCTTTTGAATGAGTTGTTGTAGTAAACAACGCATTCAATGTATCTAAGAAATAAAAGGACAAATTCCACAAAACATACACAAAAACACAGGTCTGGGAGCATATTTAAAGACCTAGTGAATCATTTTTTAGATAGGCATATTGTGGCCACCACTTAGCCTTACATGCCACAAAGGAATGGTTCTCTTTACATCAAATACATGTACAACATTATACTATCAACCTGATTTGATAACATATTATCCAGTATGATTATGTAGCCGTGCATGTGTTTACCCTGAATAAACCCAAACAAACAGCAAACTTCTGTTCAGTGCAGATGTTTGCTGGGATTAGAATGGCTTACAACAGGTGCGTCTCATATAATTAGAACATGGTGGAAAAAGTTCAATACTTTTCATCAGACATTGCTCAAAGTGAAAATTGTATTTATTCTAGACTCAGTACACATAAATGGAAATATTTCAAGCCTTTATTTGTTGCTGATAACAGCTAACCCTAAGAAATGAAACATTTACTTTCATCTAGAAAGAGGACTTTAGACCACTTAGTAATGATCCTGTTCTTTCTCTGCTTAATCCAGTTTGATTGATATTATCTCAAGCAAACACCAAAAAACTAAGTTTTCTGAAAATCAACAAAAATGGAGTTATCTGTTTTTGCAAATGAACTCTTCAAATTATAAACCTGTCTGTTGCACTAGATGATAAACTGCTTTATTATTGTCTGTTCTTTCTTCATCAGATGCCTGTAAAATCACTTTGGATCCAAACTCAGCACACAGAAACCTCAAACTGTCTGACAACACGAGAGTGGAAGCAGCGGACGAGCAGCAGCCGTATCCTGATCATCGAGAAAGATTTGATACCTTCTGTCAGCTGCTGTGTAGAAACGGTCTGACTGGGCGCCGATACTGGGAGGTCGAGTGGAGAGGAAGGGTTGATATAGCAGTGTCTTACATCACGATCAGGAGGAAGGGATACAGCAGGACCTCCAGGTTTGGAGGGAACAATCAGTCCTGGTGTCTGAGCTGCTCTGATGATTGTTACTCTGTCTGGCACAACAACACAGAGACGATCATCCCTCTCCCTCCCTTCTCCATCTCTCACAGAGTAGCAGTTTATCTGGACCGTCGTGCTGGAATTCTGTCCTTCTACAGAGTCTCCTCTGATACAATGGTCCACCTCCACACCTTCAGCACCAAATTCACTCAGCTTCTGTATCCTGGGTTTAGAGTCTGGAGTGGTTCAGTGACTATATGTCCAGAGACTGCTGCAGTCACCCTGCTGACTGAGGAATGTCTGTTTAATCCATACGAGACCTCGCTCACACTGTAGCCGGTGACACTCACAATATGATCAGGAAGGCTGGCACTGTGCTGTGAACTTCTCTGGAGCTGGCTGTGGAGAGGAGGATGCTCTACAAACTGTTGAACAACCTGGAAAATTTCTTGCATCTGTATCGCGGCCTGAAGGTCAAACAGTGGAATGCTCTAAGTCTGAGACAGTAAACAGTTGTGTCATTTTATGCAATTACATATTGTGTCTGTTCCATCTTTTCTGTTTCAGATACATTTGATCGTTTGGTTCTGTCTCTACTTTTTGCCATGCATATTGCACATTAATTTAATGTTCAGTTAATCTAGTTTAGAATTAGAATTAGAATATAACTTTATTAATCCCTTCGGTACAAGACCTCAGGGAAATCAGCATTCAAATTCAGTGAACAATATACAGATACACGTTTAACATCCATGAGTAATCCTGTGCCTCACTGTGCAGCTTTTTTTTTCTTTCTACAATACCCACTTAACTTGACAAATGTATAGTGGATGATTATTAAGTGTATCCTGGTGCAAGAGCAACAAACATTTTGGTGTACAAAGAACAAACTGGGTTTGCAGTTAGCCATTGTTGTGATGTTTATTTCATTATGCAAAAGTATCTGTATGAACCGAAGGTAGTTTTGAGCAGAGAAGGTAGTTTTTTACTAATGATGTGTTTGATCACAAACAAGTTGACTATGATCACTATGTGAACTTCTTCTTTCTTAGTCTTTATTTGTTAATTAATGCAAGACAGAGTAAAAGGATGATCCGTTTGCAGATGCTCATTGCACATACTGAATGTTGTGTTGATGTGTCATGTGACCAGTCATGAGTGATGACGGACGTCATTTAATACACGTGTGTAACACTGTTTGATTGTTTTACATTCATGTTTTTATACAAAACAACTGTAAAAGAATGATGTTGTGGAACTTATTGGATTAAGTATAAGATATTGCTAAATTTAGCTGAATCATCAAAGCTGGAATTGGTACCAAATGAAGAGCCATTTGAGAGCCAAAAGAGTCCAGAAGGATCCATCTGCAGCCTCCAAGTCTCCTATTTAATAGTAACGTCACGTTGCACACCCAGCACTGCTGAATAAAACACCTACTACAACACGCAGCTACTAAGTTACCATTAGTTGGTTTAATGCCAATGTATTTGATATTTAGCAGACCTTACCTGAAACATGCCAACTGTCCATAGACTGTTCTTCAGTGTCACTGCACTATACAAATGTACAAAATAAAATGTATAAAATCTGCTTAATTCTTGTGTTATTTAAATAATATTTGTCACTAACTGGGTATTCAGCATTTAAGAAACTGTTAAAAGAGAAGATAACTGATCAAGTAGATGAACTGTGAAAAATCTTAGATTTTTGTGTCTGTTTGCTTTGAAATGTGTTTCATCATGTCTCGTGTATATATGATTTTAAATATAGTAAATATCTGTATTGTTTTTCTATGATTTGCTCTGTATTGCTATGTGATAAAAACAACTTTCCCATGTGAGAACAATAAAAAGATGAAGTCGCTACTTCCGTTTGTCAGTGGAAGTGATTTGTAGTAGCAGTAATAACAGAAATCATGATGCCTTCAGGTGACTAAGAAACCTGAACAAATGGTTAAAGTCAAGATTAAAAAACTGAATGGACTCAGTATTGCAGATTGAGGCAGGAAGGGTATTTCAAGAGGCGCAGCAGCACTGAAGGCTCTGTCTCCCACACAACACAGATTGGTGTTAAAGAGTCCGATATCTGACAAGATGTAATTAATGTATGAATGAGGGAGTTCCTCGGGTGGAGGAAATCAGATTTGCTGATGGATTTTGATCATGATTCAAATTTAAAGCGTCAAATAAAAGAAGAGTGTCATGATTCCTGCCCCAACCCCTGATTTGCTGGTAGTCTCTCATCTTCCTTTCCTTCTCTCCCTCTGCCTGTGTGTGTGACTGAACTGCTTCACTCACCTGCCAGTAAATAGCACTCAAGCCTATAAAACCCTGGTTCAGACAACCATGCAGTGTCTGACTGTCTTCTCTGCAACATTCCTTGACTAGATCCCCAAAATGGCCTTTCACTGGTAATTCAGATCAGATTCCACTGCATGTTCCACACATCAAGACCTACTGACGTGAACAAAGCCATCAGGTACACCTGCTTTCTCGATCCTCCATTACGCTGCTGGATTCCACCCTCCACTCACACACCTTTCACTGCCACATAAAGTCCTACCAGCTTATTCTCAGCCCTGTTCTCCCAGTTAAGTTCCCTAGTCTATAGTCTGGGCTTTTGTTTGTATAGTGTTCACTGTATCAGTTCGTGTTCTGATGCAGTGGTCATGCAGCAACAGCTTGGAGAAGGCAGGCAGGTCAGAGAACGGCAAGGAAATGGGGTATTGTCATCGTTCTTGTGATTCATGTCTGTGCTTGGGTTCAAACTCAAACCGTGACTCCCAGATTCTCCTCATCCTGGCACTGGGTTGCCAGTTTTACTGGCCTCATGATCATAGGTTAGGGTTTGGACTGTAGATCAAATGGTAAATCAAAAGCTTTGCCCTCCGGCTCAATTTCCTCCTCATCACGATGGTCCAGTACAATGCCCACAATACTGCTAATGCCAAGCTACCCGTCCATCTCACACTCCATTTTCCATCACTCATGAACAAGATCACATACAGCAATCCGCTCTTCAGACGTGCTCCTTCTGCCGGTTTAGGGGGTTTCTTGGTAAACAAAAGTCTCGATGCTGAAGCCTCTTAAGTTCTCGCAGCTTCTCCAATAAAACCTCTCCAGCCGTCTTCTGCATTAGTGAAAAACCATTCCCATCGTTGTCACTATCCTGTCATAGAGCCACAAATGGTAGTAAAAATGCAGCTCCTCTTAAACTGTAGGTTGGAAATGACTGTGGAATAGTGTGACATCAAAATAAACATTGAAAACATATCTTCATCCAAAATGTGCACAGTTTTGTATCATGAATAATTCTGATCATTGGTGGAGATATTCAGAGTTGTTCGGTGCTGCTGCTTGATTGTAGTTGTGTGGAGTTGTTCAAACCATCTGCTGATTGTTTTCACTTGATGATGAGTCGACTGAATCTGAATGAACACATTGCTTTAAAGTCTTTTATTACAGAATTTTTCTAAAATGTTTGTGTTAATACGTGAATCACCTGCAGGATGTGACTGACTTAGAGCAGAATTTAGTGACCTCCAGCCGGATGTTTGTGAATTTCATTGCACATATTAAGTTCTTAAACTGCTCATCAGCAGCATCTAGTGGACAGATGGTAGAACTACACCATCTGCTCTGTGACGCACTGGAGATGGTTGTTTGGAAAATTAGTACACTTAAGAAAACATGCAATTTTGTCTCAAAAATCTTTATCAGACACACTAATAGATGATCATATGAGGCAAGTAAGTGACACTTCACTATATAGAGCCTCAAGGTTTGAGTACAGTTTCTCCCCCCAGGCCATAAAACTGATTGACACTTCCAGATTATCACAGTCCAAAGGACCAATGGCAATCTTGCACTACCTATTACATTGCTTTTTGTATATTTAATATCTATGTATGTATAAATAGATGCGAGCATTTGAATGAGTATATTCTGCAAACAGAACAGCACAAGGAAGAGACAGCAAACTCAGACTTTGATTGCACTGATAAGTTGTTTATTGCTGCACGTTACAATAAAAGAATTTAGACCTTCAAAGAACGAGGAAACGAATACCCCTGACTGCTGAGAACCTGCCACAGGTTAAAATGGTTTTATGTCGCCCTGGTGTTTATTACACTTGGACTCAAAACTTATGAGGGTGTGACGGTTTCCTCAGATTAAATGCAAACAGACGACTGGACTGACGAGGGAGACTGAGCGGCTTCTTTTCTCCGAATGTTTCCTCGACACATGAAGGTGGAAAGTGTCTGCAAGCTGATCTGAAGTGAGCTGAGCAGGTATGAAATCTGGACATGTCTGATCATGCTGTGATGTAGTTTCTTAAGAAGATTGCCTGTTCCATCTACCTGGTGCTCAAAAGAAAAGAATTTGTATTTGTGCTAAAGGAGAGTGATTTAACCATCTATGGCCACAGGTACATAGTAGAAACATGACCAGAATTATTTTTCCAGCTTAAGAGACGAGTCACACAAATGGTTGGATTAAGTGAATGAATCTATTTGCTCTCAGTTGCTCTCATGTACAAACACACTTTTAATCAATGTTATTCTGACTGTGATGATTAAAAACTTCCAGTTCATGTCGTTAAAACAGAAAAACATATCCTTTTAAATTTGCTTACGGATAAAAGTTTAGTTCTTTACTTTAAATAAGTGTGGAACAATGTTTTACAGTAATGCAACAGCTCCCAGAAGCAACAACAGTTTTATTGAAAATATGCTACTAAGTCAGAAAACTGCAGAGAGGGACAGATCGTCTGGACCAAGGTGCATTTGACCTGTTTTCCTCTCCTCAGGTGTTCAGTTGAGTTAATGTTTTACCCTCCTAGAGGCTGAAGAAACAGTTGTAGGGCCTGGTAAGTGTGTCACCAGTCTAAAACCTTAATTATGGTTGGATTTAGCAAAGTCTTTACTACATTTGATGTATGCTTGTGCTTATTGGCCTCTTAAAATCCAAGACCCAACGATCTGGCAAATTACGTTAGGTTTCCTGAAGAATGTGGAGATAATCCTCCTTCTTCATTATTTTATTTACTTTGTGTGAAGCAGCAGCTCCACTGGCAGCAAAACAGCCCCAGAGCATAATACTACCACCACCATGCTTTACAGTATGTAGGGTGTTCTAGGGTTTAAGGGCCTCATCTTTTCTCCTCCAAATATATTTCTGGTCTTTGTAGCCAAATGGCTTAATTTGTGTTTCATCTGACCATAGGAATGTCCTCCAGAAGGCCTTTGTTGTCCAGCAGCAAACTTCAGTCGAGCTTTAAGGTGCTTCTTCTAGAGAAAGGACTTATTTCTTGCACAGCAGCCTTTTTGGTGACTCTTAGTCTACTCTTGACCATCCTGACCATTTGTCTCTCAGCAGCAGACAATAGTTGTGTTTTCCTCCTGATGGTCGAAGTAACACAACTGTATCGTGCACTTTATACTTACAAGTAACTATTTATACAGTTGATTTTGAGATTGGTAGCAGCTTTGAAAAGGTTCCATGTGACTTTTTGACTTGGTCAAGTTGATGATTTACTTTTTTAGATGTTTATTGAGCTCCTCAGACTTTCCCATTGTAGTGTTTGTGACCAAGTCTAATAACTATATCAAATGAGCCCTATTTAAATTGGGTTAGAGGAGTCAGCAGCTGCAGTCAATGTATTTTTTTGATATTTTGTCATATTTCCAGAAGACCGACAATAAATCTGTGAAAGAGCTAAAATGCATGAATGTATTTTGTGGGTTTCACTGATTCCATTGTAGAAAATTCCGTTACAGGAGTCATTGGAAACTCAATGTTATGCACAGTGTTTAAGTGCATGTAAACTGTTTTCACTACTTTAAGTAGTATCATCCAGAAGTCTGAGAACACTTGTGAAGATGCTTCCATAACAGTTTAATTCAAAATCACATGCCATGTCAGTGACAGTGATGACAATTAATGTGTCCTGTGACGTGAATGTTGTTGTGTTTGTGTGAAGGTGTGGCTCTGCTATGGATCAGTGTGAGGACAGAGAGGAGGGAGTCCCTCCCTCTAAAACCACTCTGTGGAGGGAACATGAGAACCAGACCAAAGCTCAGAGGTCAGATGAACATCTCTAACTGTTCATTACTGCAAAATGTATTTTAGTATCCAACAAGATCATGCAGATGATGTACTCTTGGTTTTAAATATTATTAATGTGATCAGATTTGATATTTTTCTTTTCAGGATTCATCAGCGTGTAGCAGACTCTCCTGAACCCAGCTGTGTGTCCATGAAGAGCAACAACTCCATGTATCGACCTACTGCCTTTAAAGATGAAAGCCACTCATCTGATAAAGAGTAAGAGCACAATCCTCATATACATAGAGAGACATGATAACTTTATTCAAAGATCCATCCTTTATCTCCATTATCTATACACCGCTTAATCCTCACTAGGGTCACGGGGGGCTGGAGTCTATCCCAGCTGACTCAGGGTGAAGGCAGGGGACACCCTGGACAGGTCACCAGTCTATCACAGGGCTACACTTAGAGACAGACAACCAAGCACACTCACATTCACACCTACAGACAATTTAGAATCACTAATTAACCTCAACATGTTTTTGGACTGTGGGAGGAAGCCAGAGAACCCAGAGAGAACCCACACTGCACGGGGAGAACATGGAGACTCCACGCAGAAAGATCTCAGGTGTCCTCACCGGGATGCGAAGCGACAACCCTCTTACTGCGAGGCAATGGTGCTAACCACCGAGCCACCTTGCAGCTCAGTTCAAAGACGTTAGAGAAAAATAGGTCAAGATTAGTGCAAAGTGTAAATTAATTTTAGACATTTTAGGCTTCATTATATTTTGGCAGTGGACAAATGGAATAAATTTGTTCATGAGCTGTCTGAGCTTATCAATAGTGTTTCTTGAAGCTTGTTATTTTTTCATTGCTGTCCAGGCTCTTATTACTGGAAGCTGCTTTCTTGAGTCTATGCTAGATGATGCGACAGTTTGGATTTGGATTTCGGGTTTGTTTCGAATGTTGTTACACTGTATTTTTATGTCCTTTCAACTCACTGAAACAAAATGAGACAATGTAATTTTTACTTTTTCTACCAGGGTCCATCAGCAGAGAGCAGTCTCTCCCAAACCAAGTGGTGTTTCCATGAAGAGTGACAACTCCATGTATCGGCCTACTGTCTTCAATAGGAGGCATCACTCTGCTGATGAAGTGTAAGAACTGAATACTCGTGCAGTTGCATTGCTTGTTCAAACATGAGGAATGACAGTATCTCCTCTCAGAGTCTAACTTGTGAGGAAAAAAAACAAAAACACTCTAAGCACTCAGAGATGATACAAAAAATGGTGATTATCTCTTAACAATATTACAAGACAAGTTAATCAGACACTAAGCAAACAGTTTGCTCTTGTAGCGAGCATGTTGGATATACAGCCAGTATACAGACCAGAAACCAGCTACAGGATGATGGAGGATATAATGGAACATGTCTGATCCATGGAAACTCCACCTCTACTCTAACATCTTGGAGCCTGATACTTCAGGGCCCCTTCAGAGATCTGGTAGAGTTCAGGACTCTTGTTTTAGTGGCACAAGAAGAACCAACAGGGCATTGAGTAGGGGGTTATGTTTTGCCTCATCGGTCGACACTCTACAAATACATCATAAAGGTACATAAAGTATACTTGTCGATGGATGACTTTCTCTTAAGCTTGAAATAATCAGTTTTGTGTTTCTATCAGGATCTACCAGACACCTCGCTCTCCTGAACTCATCAAGAGTGACTACTCAATGTATCGACCTACTGTCTTCAAAGAGGGACATCGTTCTTTTGATCAAAGGTAAGGCTTTCATACTCAAACAAAGAGACATCTTTCGCACACATGAAGATATTATCAAGACTAAAAGTTGACAGACTCAGAAGAAGGATCTCCAATGATCTGACAAGTGCTGGTTGCAGTTCAAATTGAGACATTTGTCTTTGTGAATAGAGTTTATTCTACACTGTAGGCTTTATGTGCTTGCCAACGTTCACATAAAGACATTTGTTGCATTCAAACACTGGTTGTGTTGGTTGATGTTTGTTGCCATTTTTGACGGGTTTCAAGGATTCCAACTTGCCAGACATACAAAGTATACTGTAGAAAACACAATGAAAATCTTGTTATAATGCTTCTCTACTGACTAGAAAAGTAGCATTCAAGTGGTGCAACATTATAATCAAAATAAATACAAACTACAAAAGACTAATTATGAAAATTCAAATTAAAAAAAAAAAGTGTTATTGTTAATTTAATTTGTGTTTTTTTTTTTTCATTGAGTTTTCTGGTATGACAAACCTGTGGACCAGTGTACAGTAGGTGCTGAAATGTGGAAAGATTGTGACTGACAGTTCAGAGGGAACAGCATGTTTATTACACTCTAGTATTTAACGTATTTAATGAATTTTACGTTTGGTGTTGTTCATGTCTATTACCCTATAGCTGTGCGCACTGTTTCAAAAACAATTGGTGTTCGTTCGTTCATACGTGTTAACAACAGGGAAAAAATCTACAGTGTGGGATGCACTGATTACGTCACATGACTTTAACATGATTAAACTAATTTTAAAGAATAAATACTTAAAACACACACACACACAATAGTATGTAAATATGGATAGTGACTCTTTTTCTTGTTAATGTTCTACAGTCTGCAGCAGCAGCTGGGAGTCAAATGAGACAAATCAGAAAGCTCAACATACTTAAACAGTGCACTTAAACAAGTCCTGAGTCTGAGTTCACATTCTACTTATTATGACAGAACAACTTTTGTGTGTCTGTTTTCTCAACAGTATTTATCAAAAAAACTTGGAGGATCTCAGCGGTCATTCTGGCCAGCGGCACAGCCCAGACCTGAATGCCTTATTTCTGGTGTGTAAATGTTAAATCACAGCTGCTACTGCTCTCTTTAACCATCACAATCTAAATGCTAAACACTTTTAAATTCTCTTCAACTTTCCCATCCTCTCTCTCACACACACACACACACACACACACACACACACACACACACACACACACACACGTATACATATTTGGGTGGTTTATGGGCCCACATTTTCCAAACCAGTTTAAAATGTGGTTTATATGGACCCATTTTTGCCTTCGTCTTAGAGACACGTAGGAAACAGAAAACTGCTTGGAAAAAAAAAAAAAAAAGGAAAATTTCAGTCTTCTTAGAATTTGTAGTAAAAGACTGCAGAGATATAATGACTTGACATTCTACAGGATTATGGGGACGGGTCGGGTGGAGGCGTTTCCAGGCACAATGGTGACTTATGAGGACACTCCTTGTTTATGTGGACATTACCCACACACACATACACAAATATAGCAAAACCCTTGGTTATGAGGACCATGCAGGTTAAACCGGACATTACCCACACACACACACACACACACACACACACACACACACAGACACTAGTGAACAAGCTGCTGAGCTACACACATTATTCAGTGTTGTCTTCTGTTGTGAACTCAAGTTTAAATGTTTCATTCCAGCTGCTGGAGGAAAACATCATCAGTTATGTGAGGAATGAGCTGAAGAAGATCCAGAAGGTTTTGAGTCCAGATTACCCAGAATGCTTAGAGAGTCAGAAGGAGGAGGAGGAGGAGATGTTGGAGGGTGAGGATGAAGATCAGAGGAGGAGCAGCAGAGAGTCATTCCTGAAGATCACGCTGCACTTCCTGAGGAGAATGAAGCAGGAGGAGCTGGCTGACTGTCTGCAGAGCAGTAAGACTTGGATGCAACACTGACGACATTATCAACCTAAATTACAAACATTACTTAATTGCCAATATAAGGAAAATGAACGTCTTGTTATGTTTCTTCAGAAAAAGCAGACTTAGACATACATATCTAGTTGAAGAATTCACCGTGACAAAATGCAGGCACGTGTTTGTCGTCAGCATTCAGATTTATTGCAGCTTTTACACTTTATTTTTTGTGTTCCTTCAGGAACCAGTGCTACTGTGTGCCGTCAGAGACTGAAATCAACATTGAAGAAGAAGTTCCAGTGTGTGTTTGAGGGGATCGCTAAAGCAGGAAACCCAACTCTTCTGAACCAGATCTACACAGAGCTCTACATCACAGAGGGAGGGACTGCAGAGGTCAATGAT